GACAATACCTACACGACACGTTGCTGTTCGGCATTCCACTTCCATAATCAGGCCACCTGTGGTTTTAACAGTTCTAATAAGAACTTGTTCTATAATTAAATCAGTGGACAGGCCAGCCTAGTAATGTTCACTCCTTCTGACAACATGGAAACCATCTGAAAATGACTTGTACACTTGGAAACTCATCTTTAAGATTCATCATAGATTGTAAATAGAGGGTAGAACTTTCTGTGTAAAGGTTGTGGCCAGATGCAGCAAAGTATGGTAACATTCTTCATAGGACTTGGAGGTGCATCTCCCAATTTCCAGTTCGTTCAGCTTTAATAAAACCCGCACAATGTCAATCATCTCTTGATATTGTAGCCAAAGAGTGGCGGTTAGACTTTTGGCTTTCAGCCTCTTCTAGCCTGTTGCTAACCTTTTCCTCGATTTCTTTCAGCTTATTTGAAGCAGCCACTTCTTGAGCTGTTTTTCTTTTCTCGATCAAGTCTTCGTATTTTCTAGTTGACCAGTTGATATTAATTAATAAAATATTAACAAAATATTAATTAATTTACAAAATATCATTATCCACTTGTTTTAATCTATAATATTTATATTTGTGCTTTACTAAGTGTTCTAAAAGGGTAAAATCTAAACATTAATTTTGAGCCTCGTTTCCATGTCGCTCAGATTTTCAATCCAAATGCCTCAAATAAAACGTAATTTACACGATGTTGCCGTGCTAGGATTTTGTGGACTTTCGATATGTTGTTAGGGATATCAAATATACCAAAATCAGTTGGAATTTCTTTTGTGGAAATTTGTTCAAGCTTAGAGTGTTTTGGTCAGATTGACTGGACTAATTACCTGCACCTTTACAAACGACTTATTAACAATACAAACAAACGATCAACTAAAAGCATTACACTTCACACTAATTCACAATGACAATACACAATAGACACCCACACTTTTCATGTACACAAAATACAATGATGTAAGAACCAGATAACAAATCGGCTAACCTGTGAGGGTGATTACTGCCAAAATCCTGCTTTAAATTCTGTAAAAGCGATCTCAATTCTGTTGTACCAAATTAATGTTCTATCACAATGGAATTTCAACGAGTGCAACAAAATTTACATTAACCGAACAAAATTTGATTTGAAACAGAATTTACAAAAACAAAACAGAATTTACTGCGACACTACAGGTTTTAACCAAGTACTACATAATTTAAAATAACATAACAGAATTTGAGTTGATCCTAAATTCTAATATGTTGTTTCAAATTATATTCTAATTGATTTGAATGTCACGGAACCAAAAATTCAAAGCTGTTTCGCTTGTATATTCATTTGATATTTGTTTTATCATTGTAATTCATCTCAGGGTTGCCAATTTGGCCTTTTATCACAAATAACTGGAAATTTGGCCTTTTGAAACCTGTTTGGCAGGAAAATTAAAGCTAGCCGCCAAATCGATTTTGGCCTATTTTGGCCTTTCAAATTTTGATGTCATGAAATTTTATTATTAATTATATTACTCGTAATTGACTGATAATGACGTATCAGATGAGTACTGCTGTGGTTGTACCCAGTACTTATGCTCTTCCTCGGCCTGATTTGTTATTCAATATTCAGCTCTGTTGCATTTTCACATGAAAATATGTTTAATTGTGTTGCATGATACACTCATAGTTTTCTAATTAATGTTTAATGTCATTCTTGTACAAAATAAGGGAAACTTGCTTTCCATCAACCAGTTCAACATCAAAACGTGCCACAGGAGAGTCCGAGATTATGATCGCTGTTCAGACAGCTTGCCATGGATGCATCCGGACAGTAGATCATTTTGGTGAGATATTGGCAAAATATGGCAAAAAGTGATTTGGAACATATTAGATTGCACTGCACCAAATGCACGAAGATCATCACCAAGTCGTATGTCCAGCTTTAAAGGAAGATCTCAAAAAGATGTTGAATGAAAGCATTTTTTTAATTGGACAAAAACGACGGATATATCAGTCGCTAAGGATCGGGCAATTATTATTCGTTACTTCAGTGAGAAACAGTGCAAAGTAACCGACTGCTTACTTGAAATTGTTCCAATGTCTTCTGCAACTGGGGAGCTGATTTTTAATTCCATAAAAAGAGAAAGACGACGACTTCCATTGCCATTCACAGTTCAGCCTAGAGACATAAAGCAGCTAAAGAGGCAGAGGACCTTTTCGGCTAAATATGGATTTCGTTCTTCCAAAATCTGTAGAATGTACAAAAACCGAACTTGATTTATTTTCTGTCCCACCAACACAAGTCAAATTAGAAAAGGGGCATTGGATTGATCATCAACCTGTGTCCAGCGTATCTGAAAATGGACCAATTACATTTTTATTGCCCGGCACAGAAGATTATGTTGACATGTCTAAGACAATATTGGTAGCTAGAGCGAAAGTAACAAAAGCCGATGGTGGGGATATCAATGATGACACTAAAGTTGGACCTGTAAACAATTTCTTGCACAATTTGTTCAAGCAAGTTGAAGTGTTTCTAAAAGGAAAGTTAGTTACACAAGCAACAGGAACATATCCATATCGTGCATATCTCGGCACACTTTTAAATTATGGTCCACCAACCAAACAATCCCAGCTCACTGCTGCGTTATTTTACAAAGATATTGCAGGTCAGATGGATAATGCAGATCCTGCCCACGCAAGTCCAAACAGGGGTTTGAAGACAAGAAATTAGTTTATGGGAAGTAAAATTGTTGATATGGCAGGTCCTATCTTTTGTGATGTTTTCTTTGGTAAACGTCTCTTACTTAGCTATGTTGATTTGAAAGTGGTCATGAACCGTACCAGTGACGAATTTGTCTTAATGTCAACGGTGGACGATGCAGCCTTTAGAGTGAAACTGATAGATGCATACTTTAAAGTTCGTAAAGTCAAAGTGAATCATAGTATATTTCTGGCTCATGAGGTTGCCCTGAAAAAAGGTCCAGCCATTTACCCAGTAAGACGTGTGAACTGTAAAACTTTTATCATTCCTTCTCGAAACCCTTCGTTGCAAAAAGATAACCTTTTCAATGGTTTAGTACCTAAATCATTTGTTTTCGGTCTTGTTGAAAGTGCGTCATTCAACGGAGCTTATAAAAAGGACCCATTCAATTTCCAACATTTCAACATTTTATCGTTAGGCATTTCAATAAATGGTGAATCTGTACCATTTAAACCAATCAATTTGTCCTTTGGTGCGAATCCGAGATTTATAGAAGCACTTCTACCGCAGTTTTCTGCCACTGAAAATGTATTACGACACAGGCAATGGCATTACGCGTGAAGATTTCCCAAACGGTTTTGCCCTGTTTGGCGCGGACTTAACCTCCGATATGTGCAGTGCATCCGAACATTTTAACACGGTGCAAAAAGGAACCTGGCCATTGGCTTACAATTCTCTGTTGATGTTATTTAAAGTAGCATTCGTATTAAATATACTAACCGCTGACCATATACCAAATATGGTGTTATGAACAAAACGTGCTATATATATAGAAGTATTTCTAGTGAGGTTGATTATTGTTGTTGAGCTATCTTATGTAGAACTCGTTTTTTCTTAAATAAAATAAATCGTTCTAAACCATTCGCGATCCACCGACATATTCAACAGGTTTTGGGCCCAGGCAGCGTTAGCGAAGTTTGTTAAATAAAGAATAAGTTGGTATAATTTCTTCGATTGACAAAATGGCGGGCGAATGGAAAACGGCAACAATAGTTCCTTTGAATGGATCAAACTATGTAACCTGGAAAGTTCAGTGTCGAATGGCTTTGATAAAAGATGGGCTTTGGAGTATTGTCTCCAATGAAGAAACGTTTCCTGATAACGAAGAATCAGAAGCATATGCGAAATTTATGAGTCGAAGAGACAAAGCTCTTGCGATCATTGTTCTTTCGGTTGACCCATCACTTTTATATCTGCTAGGTGATCCAAATGATCCTGTGGCTGTTTGGAAGAAGCTATCTGATCAATTTCAAAAGCGCATTGGGCGAACAAGCTTGCGTTGAGACGACGATTGAATAATCTGACGCTGAACGATGGAAATTCGTTGTCATGTCATATTAAAGAAAATGACGGAGATATTCAATGAGTTAGCAGTAATTGGAGCGCCGATGGACGATGAAGACAAAGGTTACATTCCTTGCAAGTCTTCCAGAGAGCTACAATGTGCTTGTAACAGCACTAGAAGCAAGCAATGAAGTACCTGCAATGGAAGTTGTTCTTGAAAGATTGCTGCACGAAGAGAAAGCAAAATGATAGAGATAAGCATTCTAACACTCGAGAAAGTTATGATGATGTCAAAGGAGGACAATAAACCACTAGAAAAGAAGAAAGCACCAAAATGTTATCACTGTGGAAAGATTGGTCATATTCGACGATTTTGTAAGGATTATTCCAAGGAAAAGGAAAATGAAAGAAAGCATGACAAACAAGGCAATCAGAAAACTTGGAAAGGTAAATCTCGTCAAACTGAGAGTTTAGGTCTTGTTGTGCAAAGTCTTGCTGTTGGGAACGAGAATATTCCTGGTGAGACATGGATAGTCGACTCAGGGGCTACCACTCACATGTGCAATAACAAGCATCTATTAGAAGACTTTCAAAGTATAAAAGATCATGTGCATGTAATGCTTGGAGATGGAAAACCTAAGTGGAATCGAATTGGTACTGTAACCAAACACAAATCAAAATGGAAAGGTACAAGAATGTAAATTGCATAATGTACTGCATGTACCACAACTCAGCTACAACTTGCTAAGTGTTGCAAAAGTCACTGATGCGGGAAATGCTATCAATTTTGATCATACGACATGTAAGATTTTTCGCAAAGATGGAACAGTGATTGTATTAAAAGAAAGCTGGAAGTTTGTTTGTATTGGATTGCAAGTGCACGTTTGAACACGTAAAAGTCATGAATGAAGAAATTGGAACATCTGATGAGATGCTGTGGCATCGACGCCTTGGTCATCTTGAGGTCACAGATTGAGACAAATGGTGAATGAAAATTAGTGAAAGGACTAAATTTTGACATCAAGAAGAATCTAGAATTCTGTGATGAATGCAAAAGGAAAGCTTCATCGTAATTCGTTTCCTCGTGGAAGCAAACAGAGCATCTGATCCTCTTGGTCTAGTGTTTACATTACACACCAAACAAGTTTGGACTGCATTGGATTTCAGATGCAGATTGGGGTGAGATATTAACGATAGAAAATCAACGTCCGGATATATTTTTCTAAATGAACGGTGCAGCCAGTTGGAAAAAAGCGTTGTTCAAAGCTGTGTAGCATTATCGACTGCAGAAGCTGAATATATAGCGTTGGGATCAGCTGTTCAAGAAGCAATTTGGATTCGCTTCAATTACTTAAAGATCTCAATGTTGATAAGAAAGATCCTTTGAAAATCTACGAAGATAATCAATCAGCTATCTCCATGGGAAAGAATCCTCACTCTCATGGAAGATCAAAACATATAGAAATAAAGTATCATTTTCTTGAGACAATATAGAAAAGAAACTGAACATTCAATATTGTGCTACAAACGAGATGTTAGCAGATTTGTTGACAAAAGAATAAGTAAGGAACAGTTGGAAAACTAAGATGAATTCGGCTCGAAGTGGTGCAGCTGTGACTGCTGCTAGTAAATACATTTATGCGCTGGGCGGATACGATGGTACAACGCAGTTAAGTAGTGTTGAACGATACGATCCTGCTCTTGATGAGTGGATGCTCGTATCCAGTATGTTGGACCACCGAAGCGCCTTGAGCGTTGCGTCATACAGCAACAAACTCTACGTGTTTGGGGGTATAATGGCGAGAATTCCACGACACCGTCGAGGTTTATGATTGCAAGTGGGACAAGTGGGAGGTGGTGGTAAAATGATGAGCATGGGTAGGGTGGAGCTGCCGTGGTTGTGGGGGTACGACCTGCGTTCTGATGGCTCTAGGCTAAATATTTATTAATGACGAGTTTATTGATCAGAGAATTTAATTTTTTGTTTACCTGAATGAAATTCAATGTAATTGTGCGAATTAATTTTATGTATTCTGAATTATTAGTTGTTCGGATAAGAGCCAATAGGTCTGGCACTTTGAGGTAGAGCCTAGTGATTTAGATTATCGTGGGAAGTTACAGTTTTGTATTGTGTAAAATCAATATTTAGCAGATTGTCGAAATAAGTTTTATCAAGCCGAACTAAGTAGCAGCATTGATTAATGCTGAAATTAGAAGTTGAGAAATATTAACTAACGATCTTCGCACTCGCAGCACCGGTCCAAGCGTTTGGTACTGGTAGCTTCACAAAACTTCTGTTAACATTACATGAGATTGTTAATGGTAACTTTCAAATGAACCAACTTTATTGTGTTTTCTTGCTCAAGTTGTCCATTGTCGACACGGTTTCAGTTATTATTTTTATGTCCCCGTCTACATTTAATTTTAATTTCAACCTGTATTTTGCTGTATATAACCATATAGGCTGCAAGCAGGCAGCCACCATTTCTTACTAAAAAAAAGAATTGGTGAAAGAAGTACCCTCTTTTATAAGGAGATATATAAAATAAGAAGAATTTATAAATGCATATTTTTACCATTTAGACCAAAGCATTCTTAAATAAAATTTCCTACATATGTGTGTGAGAGCATCTTTCAAAATTGCTATTTTGTCTAAGACCTCTAGTTAGGGAATTTTGAAAAGTATTTAATATAGACGCCACCGCAAATTTTTTTTAGATACTGAATTTTCTTGCAACTTTAATAACGAATCCAGAAACTGTGCAGTCGTGTTCTTAAAAAGGATGCAATCGAAAAACATCGAATTTCTGACTTCTATTCAATGTTTGATCTTTAAAAGGACGGTTGTTTGAAGAATCGGTGTTTGCTTACAGTGTAAGCCTTACACATACCAACATGGCACAATTTTTCATTAAAAGGAAAACTCCCAACATCCTCATGGATGAAATTTTGTATCTGAGCCATTAAGCAAGCTAAACAAAATGGCGGCCTTTGTGACGGCCGTAGATGACTTAGAACCACTGGAGCCATCTATAAATAATATCCTTGAGCAAACTAGTTTGAAATGGATTTTCGTTGGCGGTAAAGGTGGGGTGGGGAAGACTACGTGTAGGTGAGTCAAAACGGCTTAAAGTAGTGTTTTGTTCAACATAAAAACATACACAGTTATACTGAAAATAAAAACATTGAAATCTGCCAGACACAAGTAATATGTTTAATTAAATACCATTTAGTTGCAGCATTGCGTTATCATTGGCCAAAGTACGAGAGAATGTGTTGATGATATCAACTGATCCTGCTCACAACATTTCTGATGCATTTAATCAGAAATTTGGTAAAAGTCCAACTGCAGTCAAAAAATGCCCAAATTTGTATGCAATGGTTAGTGTTAACTCTGAATTGTCAGATATATTAAAAAATTCATTTTGATTTTCGTAAGTTTATTTTGATGTTTAGCAGTTACGGTACATGTTAATAAAACTTCTAAAAGATAGAGCATGATGATGTATATTGAGCCTACAGTATCTGTGAGGAATGTGTGTGTTTATTTATTATCCACATACTTTAGGAAATTGATCCGAGTCTTGGTTTCTCACAGTTACCTGAGGACTTCATTGATGAACCAGGTATTGTGATAATTATATCATGCACCATTTAGCATCACATGAACATCACAAAATTTTTGTAATGCTTCGTACATGTAACATGTTACACATTTTCAATGAAATGCACATACTGTAATATTATAAGTGGATATAAAAATGAACGGGTTTTTAAAGGCTGTTTGTGATCATCAAGTAGAAATTCCAATTGAAGTAAAAATGCAATGACAGCTGTTTGTTTTGAGTTGTAGTTGCTGTTATATTGATAGCTGCTTATGCAGTGGTACAGTATCTGCTGTTGCTATGGTGTCTGCTGTTTCAGGGGTACTTAAAGTAGTGTTCATCGGCCTGTATCTTACAAAGTGGACACTAACAGGAAATAATTAGAGCCTCCAGTTTATTGAGCCTAAATGTTGCACTATAGTTACATGAAGTTTCAAGGACATAAATTATCATGAGCAGTTATTAGTAATTACTGCCTTATGTCGCGCTTATTCACTGTTAATATGAGACGCAGCTGCTTTGCTTGAAATGATGCAGCATGTGGACAACAGGAAACGCTTTGTTCAAAAGTTTTTCTTCACACATAGACTTAAACGATAAAATTCAACACGAGAAATATGATATCCGAGACCAAAGCATGGTTTATAAAAGATGTATATATCTGCAACAAAA